AAACACTAGACTTATGATTTTTTGATTATCAAATAAGCACTTGTTTGAAACGTTTTGCACTAATTAAACCAATCTCGAAGAACGCGAAAGCTACATGTTCTAATATATATATATATATATATAAAAAAAAATAAACGCCTTACTTTGTCATTGGTCGTTGAGTACGGCGTGATTTCCGTCTGAAATCAAAATTATCAATTTCGATTGAATCTTGTAGAAGTACCATTTTTATTCAGCGTAAAATACGGACATACTGTCAGTTAGGAAACTGCATGCCCATATAGCAACTTCTTTTGACTGAAATGATAGCTAATCACAACTAATTTGGTTTTCCCTTGAAAGTTACCCGAAGATACCAATAAATTTATAACTCCGTACATAAATTATATAATTAACGATGGTTTAAAATATAGCACTTTTCGGAACCAAATCTTTTGTCTGTGTTATAGGAAATATGAATCTCTCTTCATTAGCCCTTCCTTCATGAAGGTAGAACGAAAGAATGCATTGAGTGGGGATGTATAACAATCTAGTCAGAACGTTGTCCGCTAATTTGTTTGCGTTTCCTTTATGCCCCAACTTTTGTGGATGCCCGAGTATGAATTTGGATTTCGTGGCGATTGCTTGTGCTGTGTACCACATCTGAGTAGTCTTTTGCCGGCCATGCATTGTGTAATGGAAATTGTGTCCCATTCCCAAATTCATGTAAGTAACAACCATTCAATTGTTCATTCATTCTCATTTCACCCATTCATATTTACACAATCACAAATAAGGAAAGCCTAAGAAGGTGTTAGTATATAAAATGTTAGTACCCAAACCTTCTGTCACCCTATAGTTGAAGAACACAGCACAAACAAAATAGCAAATTCGTTTTTAAATTTCCGTATATTTCGTGCTACAATTTTAAAGCAAGAGAGATTAATTACGTATGCCAAACACGGCAAATTTCTGGTTGCCAAGTGTGGAATACATTTGTTCTGCCTAAAGCAACATTTAATTTAATAATCTCTGCAGTTTTTGTGAAGCTGACGGTAGCGCAGAACACATTTATAAAACTGTACGGTTCATTCGGTGTGCCTCCAGTCACCGAATTCCATTCTGAGTCAATTGGTTCCTTCTGACACCCCATTGGCAAATTTCAAACTCTACCCTCACATGCAAGCTGAAATTTTTGTTCAAGAATTTCATCACATTCTTCGTACTGGTTGCCCAAATTCAATGTACGTTGACATGTTACATTTAAATCCTTGGTCTATCGTCCTTACATTTATTATACATTTTAAAAGACTATTCAATGTAGAAGGCTTTTCCAAAATTTACCCCATTTCTTCGAAAATATACGAGCCCCATTTTAGAGTCTAATTTAGCAACTGCTACAAAGGCACGCAACGCCAATTCTGCTTGGATCTGTTCTGACTCTTGGAAAGAAACGTCAAATACTCCTTACAAAGGCACGTTCTTAAATACTTCAGATTTAGAGGCGAAATATCGTGGTTGTTAAAGTGCAATCTAGCCATTTCTATTTTCTGTTACAAAACGTTTCACTGGTAATTTTTACCTTTTAAAATATAAAGGAATTTAAATTTTTGTGGTGAACAACGTTAGCGTTACTTTGTTTCGGGTATAATTTAAACGGGATCATCCGACACGAATTAGCTACATTTATTTTTCGTCGTAAACCCACTTATATTTGTAAAGTTTTCGTTCAATGTTCTGGATTTTGGTTGCAATAAAACTGCATTTTACTAGTCGACGTGTCCCTAAAGGTTTTCGTTTTGCGTAGAAGCTCCTGGTTTCCATCCCAGTTCTGTTCAAATGTGTCTCGTACACGTTTTACGAATGAGTTCTTCAGAGGTATTTGACGAAATGTTTGTCTCTAGTACAGTGTGAACCTCAGTGTAGTATATCGAATGATTTCCTACTGCAATGATAATTTGACTAAATCTTGCGACTGTGGTGAAATAGTTTTCGACGAAATTTGCAACTGCCCAATTACCTGTTCCGGATAATTCTTATATTTCATTCTACAGTACGCTATAATAATCCGCTTATATGCGCCGAATTATAGAATTTGAGCTGCGAACGGTTATTACTTATAACATAATTTAATCAGTTTAGTCAATATTTAGAAAACTTGTCCTTATTCGACTGGTCTGAACTACTTTACGAAAATACTACGGTTAAGTTGATATTAAAATTATTATATTAATTAAACTCTGCGTAGGAATTCTACCGTTTTATAAAACGCAATTATTCTTAACTTCCAATACTTAGTCGGTTGTACTGAATTAGCGAATGCAAATTTGTTGCTTTAATTACTTTTTTAAAAATTCTCTTCTACTGTTAAATATTATCGCTGCTATAAATATTCGTAAAATTAAGAATCCTAACAAATCAAATACTTCCTTCAAAATTAATAAATTTTTGAAACCACCATTTTGCAAAAACATAATTTTACTGCAACTTTCACTTAGATTACCACAGAACCGCACAAGAAGAAGTCCCGATTCCAACTGAAAGAATTCGGCCTAAGACCAACCCCTGTGCTTTACTTCCGTTTACGTCATACCCTATTGACCGATATGTGTACTATTATTATATGATATATGGCATATATTTAATTTTTATTAATTGTTCTTGTGTCTTTTACCACTAATTTTATCAAAAATACGTTTCGAAATTAGAATTTAAAATATATACTAAAATTCATAAACCTCCTTCTGTTTATTTCTTTCTTTTAATTATTTCTCTGATCATTGGAATATTTTATGCATCTGAGAAAGGAAACAGATAGCGCTGGAAACGAATTCTATATCGACCGTTTCTTTTTCCATAAGAACATGAATCAGAAGTTTTCAAGATGTCCTCCAACGTTTAACTATTCTAGCTCACGTGCAATGCAAGCCTAGATTTTTATCACCAGTCTGCTCTGTCTCTTGTTAAGATTGTCGGTGTCATCGCTATCCTGTATTTATTGGTACAAAGAAAAAGGTGCAGGGAGGAAAATTGTGGTCGTCATTCTCCCACCACACTTGCCCCGAGGCAAATAGTTAAAAATGATTAAATTGGTCACTGAAAGAACTACTCGGTGCAATGAGCAAAACCCTTTGGCCATATGCATATCACTAAAGAGGATATCCTATTGTGAATTCCAAGGTCTCCTGTGTTCGCTGGAGGCCATTTCTCATTCTCCCTGATTCTATCTCTGTTGTCGATCTTTTTCTCGCAGTTTCATGTGACTTTAGTACGACTAGTTTTATCAGGTGTAGAGAGAAGGTTTCGGTTTACGTTGTGAGAGTTGCAATGTATGTCAAGTACCCCAAAGCAACTTCCAGGTCAAGCTTCGCTGCCCTCCTTCGGCTGTCTTTAACAGGATTTGTTGACAGTTACTGCTGTCTTCTCAGTGTGTGACTGTGGTCTTCTGCGGACTTGACTAGTTGTCTGTTTCATTCTGATCGCGGATAGCAGCGTGGATATTGTGGTGAGCATTAATTTAAAAACAGCTGAGACTTAATTTCCGAATAATATAAATGGTGGATAAAGTTCCTCTTAAGAGGCATGTAACAGGCTCTTAACGTTCTTTTTTTAATTTTATTTAATTTTTATTGTGGCATGTGGAATGCACTGGTTGTTTCAGCTCCAGAAGAAACATTTTTAATCAGTGTTTATTAAGAAATCCATGAACTACTGTTTCACGATTAGGTTCAGAGGAAGAACTTAAGTTCTGAATGGACTATGGGGCACGAATTTAAATATTGTTCAAATTCCAGGTGCTCAGCATAATTAATACAGCTAAATCATTGTGTTTCTGAAAATAACACTATAGGTTATTAGTGGTTTTGTTTTGGAACGTAATCTAGGGAAACTAGAATTACTTCATCTGTGGCGTGGCGCTTCTGTAAGACTACAGACTTATTTTGTAGTGTGTGTGCTTCCTGTAGGATATGCGTTCTTCAGCTAAAGTAGAAGCGATCACATTTTAAGTATAACCTCTGTTGTAATTCAGACGTAGCTGTAGTGTCTGGATAAGGGAACTTTAGTACGACATGTGTTATGGTCATGTGTATTGGATTGGAATAAACCGTGTTTTGAGAAGTGTAAGAAAGTGAAGGATGCATATTTTTGGGCGCTTATAAACATATTATTACTGTGACAGTATATTTTCGTAAATTGAATTCTGTGACAACATAACCATTTCGAACGTGTTCTTGTTTAATTTGATACACCAATCCCTCGTGAACCTTTAGAGTTTTCGTTCTTGGGGAAGGGGATTACGGTTGGCAAGAACGGGGGTATATGAGAAGTGGTGGAAGTTCATTTACGTTTCAGAGGTTTGCTGCCTCCATCATCAGCGCTACGTGCGGGAAATTGGGAAGTCATTACAGCCCGAAAGAAAACATGGCTTCATGGTAAAGCCACTGATTGTTTCCCATGTGTATCAAAATAACAAATTTGCGTCATAAAATAATCCACCGCGGTTAGAAAATCTAGATACAAATGGTAAGTAAGTGCCAAGTTTGAATTGTCATGATGAGAAATACAGCGTCACTTGCCACATTACGTACCAGTATATAGTGCACATAACCACAAAAGGTTATGCAACTTGTCTTGATTTAGGAAACTTTCATTTGGATGGTGTGGTAGAAAGAGGCAGAGAACGCATCAGATTATTTGGGGGGTGGGGTAATAAATGTTGTAACAAGTTTTAATACTTAACCATAATATTACCACGTGTACAGCTGTCAGTGCTATGTTGTCTGAGCTACTGAGAGGGACATTAAATTAATCATAAATAAAATAAACTACAGTTGATTTAATGTTACTAGACATAATATAAACAAACCAATGTACTCTGTATCAGTAACTGGAGTTGGTTTTACTTGCTGGTACAGGTACCAAGGTTTCGCCATATGGTAAAGATATACCAGCAGTCTGTAGGCTGTCTTGGGCACAGATAAACGAATTTGTTGTAAGTAGCTTCTTTTGCTTGTTTTCAGATACATCTTATGAGAAGGCGTGTAGAAGAGGCAGTGCCCCAGCCACCCCTGTTCTGGGTACCCGTGCCCTTGAACTCACACCCTCCAGGATAGTCGTGAGTTTGAGTTGCCTTGTCAAATTAAAATTAGCAGTGTATGATATGTGTGTAGTATGGAGTTAATACTTTGGTAATAATTCAGTGCGTCTTTTGTTGCAATGGGCATTGTGTTTAGTTCTTGGTGTTTCTGTTTAAAAGTTGAGTCGCTGTCACTGTGTTATTGCGGGCATGCAGCTTGAAAATTTTTCACGCATCTGAAAGTACTTCTTTTCAATCCAAATTGTTATTTATTGTTTTTTGACAAATTTAATTAACCTGTCTGTTAGAATTCTTGTTAGAAAGTTGTGAATGGTGCATTGTTAGGAACATTTAGACAAGTTAGCTGCAAAAGAATGTAATTATTTTATGAGCAGTGTATTTTTGATACATTCTGTGATAAGATTGGAGATAGCTTTATTGACGGTGGTAACAAAATTTTATGAAGTGTTTGGTTGGGTAATGTATAGAAATGAAGCTTAGAAAATGAATGCATGACAGACGCTCAGTTCCAAATTTGCTTCGTACATACAAATAATTGTGATCCTTACCTTTTTACGTTTAAATGTTGCAACTGCAGGTATTGCTAACCAATTGTTAACCTAAAATGTGTAGATGAGTCTGCAAAGTCCAGATTTGTTGAAACAGAGAAACACAGATAATGAAAGTGTCAATTTGCCGTGGTATTTGAAGAGAGTACATTTTTTATTGCATTGTTTATGGTGGCTGGACATTCCCACTTACTAGATTAGAAGCTGTAGACCTTGAAATGGCCTTGTAATGCGTGTGAATTTACGTATAACTCGGATCTTGTTAACGAGTATGTACCTAAGATGTTGCTCACAATTAACTTAGAGCTCCTCCTATCTTTAATTTACAATCATTACTCCTGCTTCTTCTACTACTTTTCATTTTAATTTTATGCAGAGGTAAAAGAATTAAGATAATAAGGAGTAAAAGAAAGAAACATTTTGCATATGCAAAATCGTAAATTGTGACAGGAAAATAAATCAAGTAATATGACAATTAATTGTGGCGTGAGAGGGAACTATTTGCTGTTGATTATGTAATACTTTGCAGTGTAAATTTTTTGTCACAAAATTAATTTTATTTTCAGAAGTAAAAGAATCATATTTCGCTCTCTATCTCACAGCTTTAATTTAATATTATGTGGAAATAATTAAAATTAACTTTTTTCCAGAATTTCTTCTCAAAGCGGTCTTTCAGATCGAACCCGCTGAAGAGGACCAAAAGTGTTACAAAACTGGAAAGAAAACGAGTTCTTGACAGTGACGGGTAAGTATCTACTGATTGCTGGATAACACATTGAATGTTTGAAATGGTTGGCAGGATTTTCCCATGTACTTGTTTCAAAAATGACAGAGGTCCTTGAAAGCACAATGTTTCTTTGTATCTGTTGTTGTTGCAGATGTTTATTATGTAATGGCTTCAAGGATGAAGGATTTGAGGTGATAGTTTAAACCCATTTTTAAGGCACTGGAGGTGATTCAAGAATACTTGTAAAATTTGACCTGAAGTTAAGAAATTTCTCATTATTTTCTGTTTTCTAGCATATTTAGTAATTGAAATTGGCAGAACTACAAACAGTGTCTTATAAATAGTACAGAGAATGTGTTGTAATGAAATGAACATATTCATCGCCCTGATGACGGAGGCAGTATGACCTCTGAAACGTTGGTTAGCATCGACCAGACTACACAGCGCAACAACCCAGAAGACAGAAATCTTCAAATGAAAGAACGTCTCAAAATCTTAAGTACTAGTGTACTTTCCCCATAAATTTCCTAACCTCACAAAACTTCAAGGTCATATGCAGGATTGCTGGATAGCAAGTACTGTTGTACTTATTTTACAAGTTTATGTGGTTACTGTTTTGGTATCTTAAAGGGAAGGATAGGAAAGGAAGTAAAGCTTACAAAGAGCTCAGAATTGTTTGATGAAGACATATCCAACTATTTCAAATTGTAAGACGGAGAGCTCCAAGAAGTTCAAAAATTTCAAATGGAGAAGTGTTCAAAATGTCCAGCTCAGATTTTAATTGGTGAGTGTATTTTAAGAGTCCAAAAGCTGGGTTTGAAACATGGTTTAGTTTTCTTCTAAGCCTGAATACTGGTTTCGCAGAATCTCTTCATAGGTGGTATATGTGAATTCGTCCTACACAGGTGCTTTTTGGACATGTACCATGTAGCTGTGTGAATGTTCAAATGAAAAAGTGTGAATTATTTAAACTGGATGTAATTATTGCTATTAACCCCACAGTGCCAACCAGCGTACATTCCTGGTATAGATATCAGCTTCATCACATGATATGATATACACCAGATAGTTGGTGCTTAGATCTCCTTTGTCCACAGTTTAAATGGCTGCCATCACTGAAGAGTTATATATTCCTTCTGCGTGGTGAGCGTCATCGAGATTAATGCAACATTAAGCTCACTTCCCCAAAAAGTAACGTTACGCTGACACATGCAGTGGGTATGATGTTCTCGCATTTGATGTAACGCTTATCACATTATAAATTAGACATTGTGACGAATGAAATATTGTTTGAATGACCAGGTATCCTGTTTTTAATAGATCCCACTGTGAAGTGCTTTGTTCTATTTGAAAAATAAGGCGATCTCGGTAATCAACGTTGGTTAATCTTGCTCTCGGTTTGTGCAGTTTTATTCCTGAAAATACATTTTAAAAGCTGCGAAACCGTGTTCAGAAATTCATTAGTTATGTCAGAATTTCTGAAATAAAAAATTGTATGTTTATAGTCGGCAGTTATTACTGCGGAATGTAGCGGCACAGTCATTAGTAGCCAGATTCTTTCATTCTATTGTAAATTTAAATGCAGTTATGAAGCAGCTTTTATCTGTCAATGCTATTCCTTGGATTAGAATTTATATGTGGGTGTCCTATTTTGTCCTTTTCAGAATCTGTTCATCCCAAAGGCGAAATGTTCCAGAATCACCGCTGTGAAAATAGTCTGGAATGAATAAGCTAGAAATCTTATGTGTAAAAGCAATTGTGTAAATATTTATATGAAAACGAATAAGTGGGAAGAATGTATACACATTGTATGTTTTCAGAGTTCCTGTTCCACCACGACTGCGTACGTCACGGTCTCACGAGTCCTTGCTCTCAGGCCAAAGTGTGATGCAAACTCTGGACTTGGGAGCTGGGGGCGTAGAGATCAAGCCCCTACACCCTTCGGTCCTGGGTCGTGAACATTGTTTCCAAGTTACGCTTCCCGCTGGCAGCCCACGCTACTTCTCATGTCGGTCGGCCGATGAGCGAGACAAGTGGGTGCATAGGTGAGTAGTGAGGTCCCCAATATGTGACAATACTTCACCTAGTCTAAATATTTTTTTTAAATTTGTTATTCAAACAAAAAAAATTATAAAACTATTTTAAAATTTAAATTATGTTGTAAGATTTGAGGTTTTCACAGCAGTGAGTATGAAGATTTCTGTCTTTTGGGTTGTTGCGCTGTGTAGTCTGGTCGATGTTAACCAACGTTTCAGAGGTCATACTGCCTCCATCATCAGGAGGCAGTATGACCTCTGAAACGTTGATTAACATCGACCAGACTACACAGCGCAACAACCCAGAAGACAGAAATCTTCATACTCACCGCTGTGAAAACCTCGAATCTTACATAATCTAGAACTGTGAAGATAAAACTAAAACCTTCGATCTCATAGCAATGAAGATTTCTGTCTTCTGGGTTGTTGCGCTGTGTAGTCTGGTCGATGTTAACCAACGTTTCAGAGGTCATACTGCCTCCATCATCAGGAGGCAGTATGACCTCTGAAACGTTGATTAACATCGACCAGACTACACAGCGCAACAACCCAGAAGACAGAAATCTTCATACTCACCGCTGTGAAAACCTCGAATCTTACATAATCTAGAACTGTGAAGATAAAACTAAAACCTTCGATCTCATAGCACAGACTACTATAATCTTTTATAACAGCACGTAAAAATTCAACAAATAATGCGTGATATTTATTGAAATATGGGTCTTGGAACATGGCGTAGATCAACCTCTCTATTAGCATTTGTATATTATTTCTCTATCAATCCTACAAAGGGCCCTAATCTCATCCGTTATCAATTCATGAATGATAACTACTCTTCCCTTATGTATACACTGTTATCAATATCCAAGCCTCAAAATAATCAATACTTTGGCTATCTAATGAAATTCAAGCAATAATGCTTTGGAGTGCAATTTCAATAACATTTTTTACCTCGTGATAAAACTGCACTGCCAACTTCACGTGAAGTGACATCCTGTACGAAGTCGCTCAGTGACCATGGAACCCTATTCCTAAATACCGTATTACATCCTTTTCTTACATTAAGTACAAATACTGCAAAACCTACCACTGGTTCAGAACAGAACAGTACGAATGTGACATATACACAAATAAAGATAGAAATTCAGAACCTGTTGTGAAAATATTTTACTATCCCAATACCTTGTCGGTGCAGATTTTTGTGACTGAAAAAAAAACCTTATATTGTGTCTTACCTAATACTTTGAATATGAAATCACATTTATGCTTTTTAACAGCATAAATTTCTTAAATGTCTTGTGAACACAGTAATAAACCATTCCATAAAATATGATATGTTTCTTGGTTAAATGAGAAACTAACAGAGTCTCACGAATCACTCCGCTCTATGGAATCAGCTCATACTACAACTAGTTTACTTTCATTCACAATCATTGTAAGTTTTAGTTCCTACTAAATTATATTTTTAATCACCTTGTACTATCCCAGAAGAGGAGGAGAAATTCTCCTCACTAAATACCCTTAGAATCTCACATTACTATAATGTGGGTGGGGGGAAGGGAGACAAATAGAAGAGAAGAAGGAGAAAGAAAGTCAGGATTACTAGATGTTACAGAAATAAGTACCTTTTTCATGGGGTGGCTTAGAAAAGCCAGACTGAGATAAAAATCTTGGACCAACAACGCTATATTAAACTACAGACATTAAAAATGGTTATCATTATTTAAAGATTTCTGTCTTCTGGGTTGTTGCGCTGTGTAGTCTGGTCGATTTACCAACATTTCAGAGGTCATACTGCCTCCGTCATCAGGGCGATGCAGTATGACCTCTGAAACGTTGGTTAGCATCAACCAGACTACACGGAGGCAACAACCCAGAAGACAGAAATCTTCATACTCGCCCCTGTGAAAACCTCAAATCTGACGTTTCAATATTTGTCTGTGTTTTTGCAGCTTGCGTAAGTCTGTTCAACCAGATCAGGAACATGTGCGGCGTACAGACAATTCACTCAAGATATGGATTCTGGAAGCCAAAGGAATTGCAAACAAAAAGAGGTAAGTTAGTAAGTACTAAGTTGCTAATTCTTGAGTTCGTCACTCTGCAGACCATTTCTTGAGAAAAATTTAAATGTCTGAACCAGTGCATCTAAACTTTCATTGTGTTCTGAACAAATATATCTTCCATGTTTTCTCTTTTCAGATACCCATTTGACCTTATCCGTTCTCACGTATCTTAGGTTTTACACTGTATTTTAATATATTGTTTGCAGGTACTTCTGTGAGCTTTGTCTCGATAAGACGCTCTATGCTCGTACTTCATCCAAGCAGAAGGGAGACATGTGTTTTTGGGGAGAGCATTTTGATTTCCACAACTTGCCTCTGGTGAATGTTATTAATGTGAATCTCTTTCGTGAAGCTGATCGTAAGAAGAAGCGGGACAAAAATGTCTTAGTTGGTAAGAATGTACTTAAGAAATTGGTTTGTGTGTGTGTTTTACAATGATCATACAAATTGTTAACAAGTCAGTTTAATTATGTCTTTAAGTAGCATAAAAATGTGACTTCAGTGTTTAAAAGGCTGGTTTTATTGAGGGAACAAATCACCATAAATTTTGCCGTTTTCATTTTTTAAATTTTTTTGTTTAATGTCATTTTTTTTATTTATTTTGACTGCTGCTGATGGCTGGTAGCTGTACTTGAGATCCACTGAGTAAAATGTATTTTTACAAGGCTGATAATAAATATTTTTTTTGGCTGGGGGAAAAAAATGTTCAGACCGTAGGTCGGTGTCTAGGAAATGCATATAGTGCTAACATTACATTTTTTCTTTACTTGGTTCTCCCAGGATAATGTTTATGAAAACAGACCTTGCAGTTTTACCAAGCCTTTCAAAATTTGTGTTCTTATCCACATCTTTTATTTGTACCAACCTTCCAGAAATCACGCACAATTTTGTAATGGAATGTCTTTGTAAATGGTATGTGGAAAACAGAGGGAAATGAGAATACACTTTTTGAAAGGGGTTTGTGAAAATGGGCCATGTAGATGTGTTTCACTTTGAGTTGGCTACTGACAACCCAGAGGCATGCTATTGTACCTTTTTTTTTAAAAAAAAAAAACCAGAACACAAGTTATTTAATAATCATAAACATTCACAATTTAACCTTCATCATGTCATAATCTACACATGAGAATGAAAACTAAATCCAGTTGCTCTGTTTTTGTAGGTAGTGTAAGCATACCAGTGCATGAAGTGACATCTCGGCACCTGATGGAGAAGTGGTATCCTGTTTTGTCAGAAAAGGGTATACCGAAGGACCCTCCTTCTCTGCGGGTAAAGTGTCGCTTCCAGTCAGTAGACATCCTGCCAGTCCAGGTGTATCAAGAATTTCTGCAGGTAAAGACTTAATTCCTGGCCTCCCAGGTGCTGCTTATCTTCTTCTGAACTATAAGTATATAGAACTTTTTGTTTTTTATGATATTTTCAGAAATATATATTTGAGCCTTGTTACCAAAGTTGACATTACAATGATATTTTACTTTAATTGTAAGCTTGTGGTAAAGAATGCAGTTTCATAAAACTCCCGCTGTTTGCGCTGTGCTCTGCAGTTCCTGAAGATGGAGTACAAGCCATTGTGTGAGGCATTGGAGCCTGTGATTGGCGTGAAGGCAAAGGAGGACATAGCAACAGCCATGGTTCACATCATGCAGAGAGAGGGCAGGGCACAGCAGTTTCTTGCTGACATAGTCATGATGGATATTGATCGGATAGGTAAGCAGCTGATCTGAGAGAAGTATGGAGTCACTTTAATTTCTTCATTTTCCAATACTTTAGTTACAAGAATATATTTAGGACAGGTGTTACATAGTTGGTTTTGAAACATATAATTTTTCATTATATAAAATTGTTATTTTTGGACTTTTTCCATTGTATAAATTTTAAAATAATTAAACTGCAGCATTTGAGAAGCTGGAGTTTGTCTTCATATAGGAGAGGTTGAGACTGGGACATAGGCCCCACTGATATGCTTCCTGTCCTGTTTTCCTCCTTTTTACACGAAGACTGAAGTGGAACCTAGCTTCTGAAACACTGTAGTCTTATTATTTTGTAATTTAGACAATAGACCAAGTCCAAGAGAACACTTTGTACTTTGCAATTGGTGAGTCACACAAATTTCATACACAGTTTTGTGTGCTATGTCATGATAAAATATGGCTTCAGAGATTTAAGGTATGGCAAGGATAATTTTAAATGGTGGGTGGTGAAGGTGGTGGCCTGTTATGAACATAGTAATGGATTTTGCAAATTTCATGTTAAGTTTATGTACAGTGAAACCTCGATGCATCGTTTTCGGCGGGGGTGGGAAATAAAAACGATAGATGCGGGAAAACGATAGATGCGGGAAAGCATTAAAAATTTTAAAAAAAACAATGTTTCTCTTTCAAAGTTACTTCTTTTTACCAAAAAAGTCTTTAATGGACAACTGGTTTGTCGAAACTTTACGTTTTAGACCAAACAGAGTACTTTCCACGTTCAAAATGTTTTCCTCGTCACGTTCACTAATATTAAGCGCATAAAAGAACGACTTCACTTTCGCCAATGCAGCGTGCGCTTCGGCAAAACTCGGCAAAGCTTCGGGCTCGCATTCGTCGTCTCCCTCTTCCTCACCACTCCAACCCCCTTTGCGGACAATAACAGGAAGAATGGAAATACTATTACTGCCGAAC